CGCGCCTGCTGCTCTGGGTGGCGCATCACGAACCAGAAACGTTTTCGGCGATTCGCGTGCTGCTGCCCAAAGATTATGTCCGCTGCGCATGACCGGCGAGAAGGCGTCCGACGTGTCGGATGCGGCGGCAGCTTGTGGCTCGATGTCGCCGCGCGCCAGTGGAGTGACGAGATCCTCGCCGCCACCGGCCTGACCGTGACCAGATGCCGCAGGCGGTCGAGGGACGGACCAGACGGGGCGCCTTCGGGCCGATGTCGCGGAGGCACGGGGATCGATCAGGTACCGGTCGCTGGCGGTGGTGGCGACGGCCGCCGGCGCGGCGGGGTGGGCGTGGTCCAAGGATGGCGACGCTGTTGTCGCTGGGCACGTCAGGCGTGATCTTCGCCGCGACCAAGGCGTTCTGACCCAAATCCGGCGGGCGCGGTCCATGCCTTTTTGCCACATCTGCCGGACGTCTGGCATCAGATGTCGGTGCATCTGTCGGCGGCGGCCTGTATCGACTGGGGTCGCGCGGCCGGACCGGCACGCCGGGGCAGCCGAACTCTTCGCCCGTGCCGAAAGCGTTGGCCCGGCGAGCGGCCCCGAAATCTTCCTGCCCTATCTCTCTCAGGCGAGCGGACGCCATAACGATGCCGAGGTTCGCGGCGCGTTCTCGCCTCGACCATGACACCACGCCTGAGCGGCTGGCGCAGGCGGTGCTGGAGGGCGTGGCCTTCGCGCTCGCCGATGGCCTGTCGGTGTTGCGTGACGCCGGAACCGAGCTGTCGCAACTGTCGGTCATCGGCGGTGGGCGCGCGCCTCTGGCTGGGGCCAGACCACGGCCGCCGCGCTGAATGTCGAGCTCGTCCATCTGAAGGGTGGCGAGGTCGGTCCGGCGCTGGGGCCGCGCGGCTTGCCCAACTGGCGGTCGACGGCGGCTCGCCGGAAGAGGTCTGCGCGCCGCCACCCGTCAGCCACACTATCACTCCCGACCCGCGCTCGCCGAGCGCTTCGCCCTCAAGATCGCGCATTTCCGCGACAGCTATTCCCGCATCACTCCGAGGAATTCCTAATATGGCTACCGACTTTTTCGCCGATATCCCGACGATCGCTTATGAAGGGCCGGACAGCGACAATGAGCTGGCCTACCGCTTCTACGACAAGAACCGCGTCGCTGGGCAAAGACGATGGAGGAGCATCTCCGTTTCGCGGCCTGCTTCGCACACCTTCTGCTGGCCGGGTTCGGACGTGTTCGGTGGCGGTACTTCAACCGTCCCTCGCATGCCGGCGCGAACGACAGTGGGCCGCCGCGCAGAAGCGGAAGTGGCGTTCGACTTCTTCTCGAAGCTCGACATCCCCTATTACTGTTTCCACGACGTCGACGTGATGGCCGATGCCCGGGCGTTGCCGAGCATCGCCGCTATTTCGCCAAGCGGTCGACCATCTCGAAAAAGCCGCAGGCTTCCTCGCCGCAAGCTGCTTTGGGGCACCGCCAATCTGCCAGCCATCCGCGCTTCGCCGCCGGTGGCGCGACCAACCTGGACCCCGAAGTCTATGCGTTCGGCGCGATGCAGGGTCCGCGACGCGCTGGAAGCGACGCACCGTCTGGGCGGCTCGAACTATGTGCTGTGGGGCGGTCGCGAGGGTTACGAGACGCTGCTCAACACCAACATGAAGCGCGAGCTCGACAATCTGGGCCGCTTCCTGACCCCGGTGGTCGAGCACAAGCACAAGATTGGCTTCAACGGCACCATCCTGTCGAGCCGAAGCCGCACGAGCCGACCAAGCACCAGTATGACTTCGACACGGCGACCGTATACGCTTCCCCCAAAGCCTATGGGTCCGAGAACGAAGTGAAGGTCAATGAGGCGAACCACGCCACGCTGGCCAGCCATACCTTCTGAGCATGAGATCGCGACGGCGGGTGCGCTGGGCATCTTCGGGTCGATCGACGCCAATCGTGGCGATCACCAGAATGGCTGGGACACGGACCAATTCCCGAACTCCGTCGAGGTGAACCGACGCTCGCCGTGCCAGAGATCATCCGCGCGGGCGGCTTCACCACTGGCGGCTTCAACTTCGACGCCAAGGTGCGTCGCCAGTCGATGGACGCAGTCGACCTGTTCCACGGTCATATCGGCGGCATCGACGTGGTGGCCAGGGCCTGCTCAACGCCGCCGCGCTGATCGAGGACAGCCGTCTGGATGCGATCAAGGCCGAGCGCTATGCCGGTTGGGAGGGCGACTTCGGTCAGCAGATTGGTGGCCTCGACACAGCCGGGATCGCCGACCTCGCGGAGCGAAATGCGATCGATCCCAAGCCCCGTTCGGGCCGTCAGGAGCGGATCGAGAATATCGTCAACCGCATCGTTCATTCCCGGGCAAGTAAGCGGTCGGGCCGGGGAGCCGGTCTGGCTGATTTGGGGGGCGTGTCCGTTATTCGATACGCCCCCTTTTTTGGCTGGCGGATTCCCTTGGCCTTCGACTTCGCTTAGGGCTGAACGGCGCGTCGGGAATAATTCGCCGCGGACCCGATGCCGATCGCGTTCGACTCTGCCGGCCCATAGCAGTGCTGCTCGACGCACACAGCCTGCATCCCTCCGTTTCAGCCTGAGCGAAGTGAAGGCCAAGGGAGGTATGGCGATCATGTCGCCCTTCGCTTCCTCCCCAAGCCAACCCGGGAGGAGCGCCGGATGACGCCAAGCAGAAGCACACCACCCCATTCGCCGCCATATCCCGCAGCGCATCATGGGATCAGCCAATGGCGGCGGTGTTGAACCCGGCAATGTTGATACGACCCAAACCGGCCATATAGATACCATGCCGATCGCGCAGCCATTCAACGGGCGGGCGATAGCGGCGGAGTGGCGAACATGCCCTTGCCATGCGCGACCGCGGCCAGATCGACCGCCCGATCCGGACGCCCTCGGCCAGCCTTGCCCGCAGACCGGCGGCCGCGCGCATCGCCAACTCGTCACGCCATTCGCGGGTCAGTGCTTCGTCTTCCAGGATGATACGGACGATCGCCGCGCCATGATCGGGCGGCATCGACCAGTTGGCCCGCGCCAGCGCCAGCAGGTTCGACAACACCACACTGTGCCCGCATCCGCGGCATCGGGCATGATCGCGAAAAAGCGCGCCGGTGCGTTCGCGATACAGACCGAAATTTTGTCGCAGGAATAGGCGAGCAGCGCCTCCGGCACCGCCGCCGGGATCGCGCGAGCGCCCGCCGCATCGACGTCGAAGCCATCGCCCAGTCCCTGATAGGCGAGATCGACGACAGGAATCATCTTCTGCTTGGCGATTCGCTCGGCGATAGCAGTCAGCCGGCGGCATCGGGATCGATGCCGATCGGATTATGACAGCAACCATGGAGCAGCACGGCATCGCCCTCAGCCGCGCCATCCAGCCCGGCCAGAACCCTTCCAGATCGAAAGTCTGGCTGGTCAGGTCATAGCAGGGGATCATCGCCGGCTCGACACCCGCCCGGCGGAAGATTGGGGCGTGGTTGGCCCAGCTCGGGCTGCCGATCCAGATGCGGCGACACCCGCTCGCGCCAGCACACTCGGCGGCGAGGAAGTGCACCCGTGCCGCCGGGAGTGCAAGCCGACATAGCGATCGCTGGGCACCGCCTCGCCGATCACGATCCGACCCAGCGCATGGACGAAGCCGATATCACCTTCCGGTCCCAGATAGGATTTGCTGACCGGGTTTCGAGCAGTCGCGCTTCAGCCGCCTTGACCGCCGTCATCACCGGTGTCCGACCCTCTTCGTCGCGGAAGACGCCGACGCCGAGGTCGATCTTGCCGGGGCGCGGGTCGGCGGCATGCTGGCCGATGATCTTCAGCAGGGGGTCGTCAGGTTGGCGGATCAGAGTCGCGAAACGCATGGAAAGGCCTTTTTAGAGATAAGGGCCGGCACCATAGGGCCATGGTCGCGAAATGGAATGCGGAGCTGTCCTGTTCCCTCGAGCGAAAGGTTTGGCGGCCCATATCTTACCTGCTTGGCGAAAATGAGGCCGGATCGGCTCCGACCACCCGGCGATGGGCTCCAGTCGTCGCGTTTAAGTGCCCAAATTCCAAAAAAAACGTTAGATTGATGTGTATTATGGAGTTTGGGATTTAATTCTCCTTATCTTTTTCGGACGGGCAACGTTACTGGAAAGTTATGGTCGTATGCCAAGGCCATGCTCCCATATGGGGAGTGAAGGCTTCCCAACGTCCCGTCTATGCCGCGCTCCAATTCCAACGACAGGTAATGACGTTCCCCTGCGTCATCGCACCCGCGCGTCCCGCTCGGGGCCTGTCGGTGGCCCGATGAGGATAGTCCGTGATGAACATCGAGCAATCGCCGAGCCCCCTGTTCCTTTCTCGATGCCCTATGCTCGCGATCCCACAGCGTGCGGCAGGGCGATGGCGGCCGCAAGACCGGGGAGGTCCGGCGACCCGCACCATGATGCGCCCCATCGCCCGCTCGTCGCCGGCGCTGAACCGGCTGTCGAAACTGGCCCCCTGGACGCGCCGGCCCCTGGCGGCCCCTGACCGGGCGATGGGCCCGGCCGCAAGTGTTGCGTCCGCGCCGCGACCTGCTGGTCGAGGGGCGGGATGTCGCTACGCAATGGATCCTGAACGGATGGGCGGCGCGTCCGCATCCTCCCCAGGATGGACGGCGGCAGTTCTCAACTTCCTTCTGCCGGGCGATTTGGTCGGCCTCTATCATCAGCCGTCCGATCTCGCCGACGACCATCGTTACCCTGACCGAGGTGACGGTCTGCGTGCCGCCCGCTTTGGGAAGCCATGCGATGCTGGACGAGGCCTATGCGGTCAGCCACGCCTGGACGAAGCGCATCTGCTGGCGCAGATCGCACGGCTCGGGCGGATGAACGCCATGGAGCGGATCGGCGACCTGATGCTCGAACTGCATGAGCGGTTGAGCCTCAGCGAGTTGACGCAGGGGCGCAGCTATGAACTGCCGATCACCCGGAGACCTTGGCCGATGCGCTCGGTTTGACGGCGGTCCATGTCAACCGGATGCTTCCAGGCCGCGCGGCGCGCCCGGCGATCTGATCTGGTCGACGCGTTCGATGACGATCCCTGATCCCAAGCAACTGGCACGCAAGGTGGGACGGGCGGCAGTCAAGGTGGTGGCTCCCTTGACCGGCCATTCGTCGTCCGGATGCAACATGTGATGATCCGCATCATTGACGCGCATCAAGATACTGAAAAACCGTCTTAATCGAGGAACATCCTGCTGTGCCTGACGCTGTCGGGTCAAGAGCAAGGAGAGCCCGATGTCGACATCGCCGATCGACCCTTTGACGATGCGCCGTTAACCACGGCGAAGGATCAGGGGCGGCCGTCCGGATCGCCACGCATGAGGCGATCGAGGATCGCGGCCATAGCCTGACCGCCTGCGCCACCACGATCCGCCGTCCGGCGGGCGAGCTTTTATGCCCGGTGGCGCGACTTTTTCCAATCTGGCCAGCATCATGGAGAATGTCGAGCGGATCGATGTGATCGATGCCCAACGCTCGCATTGGGTGGTGAAGGCGCCGGGCGGGGGCGACGGTCAGATGGGATGCGGTCGTCACCGAAGAAGAGGTGAGGGCGGCGGATCGCTGCAGGCCTCCGCCGAGGGTGCCGATATCGCCAATTCCGGGCGCGTGACCTTTCAGGAGGCCGGCGCGCGGCACGGTCGTGACCGCGACCATCCTACGACCCGCCCGCCGGCGTGATCGGCAAGCTGGTGTAAGCTCTTCCAGCGCGAACCCGCCATTTCAGGCCCGCCGCGATCTCGCCCGGTTCAAGCAACTGATGGAAACCGGCGAGGGTGGCCACCAACGCCATGAACCCCAAGCAGCGCGAGGAGCAGGGCGCATGAAGGCACTGACCGGCACGGCAAGCGCGATGTCCGCATCGACAATGTCGACGATCCCAAGATCGTCAATCCACGTGACGCGATCATCAAGGTGACGGCGACCGCCATCTGCGGTTCCGACCTGCATCTCTACGATGGCTATATCCCGACCATGCACTCAGGCGATATTCTCGGCCATGAGTTCATGGGCGAGGTGGTCGAGACGGGCTCCGCCTCGACGCTCAAAAAGGCAGAAAGTCGTGGTGCCGTTCACCATCGCCTGCAGCTCCTGCTATCATTGCGGCAAACACCAATATTCGGGATGCGAAATGGCAGCCCGGCCGACAATCAGGACATTGCCCGCGAACTCTATGGCCATCCGATGGCCGCGCTATTCGGCTATAGCCATATGACCGGCGGCTATGCGGGCGGTCAGGCGGAATATGTCCGCGTGCCGTTCAGCGATACCGGCCCGATCGTCATCCCGGACGGCGTGGAGGACGAGAAGGTTCTGTTCCATCCGACATTCTCCCCACCGGCTGGATGGCGGCGGAGAATGCGCAGATCGGAGCCGGGCGATATCGTCGCGGTCTGGGAGCTGTGGCCCGGTGGGGCTGTTCGCGGTTCAGTCGGCGTTCCTGATGGGCGCGGGCAAGTGATCGCGATCGACCATTTCCCCGCATCGTCTGGAACTCGCGCGTCAATTCGGTGCGGAGACGATCAATTTCGAGCAGACCGACACCTGGATGCAGATGATGCAGATGACCGGAGGGATTGGACCGACGCGGTGATCGACTCTGTCGGGCTGAGGCGCGGGCTGTTCGTCGACAATGCGATCGACCAGATCAAGGCGTCGACCTTCCCGGCACCGATCGAATCCACGCCATTCGTCAGGCGATCATCGCGTGCCGCAAGGGTGGCCGGGTCGATGCCCGCCGTCGGCGGCTTCGTCGACAAATTCCCGCTGGGCGCCTTCATGCAGAAGGGGCTGACGCTCAAGACCGGCCAGACGCATGTGCAGCATTATCTACCCGGACTCCTCGACGCGATCATGGAGGGGAAGATCGTGCGACCTTCCCTCATCTCGCACCGCCTGCCGTTGGAACAGGCGCCGGAGGGTTACCGGATGTTCCATGACAAGCAGAATGAAGTGACCAAGGTCGTTCTCAAACCCGGTCAATGAGGAGCGACGCCATGGCAGGGAAATTCGCAATCGTGACCGGTGCATCGACCGGCATCGGCTATCATCTGGCGGCCTGTGCGGCGCGCGAGGGTTATGATCTGGTGATCGTCGCCGACGAGCCCGCCATCCATGCCGCCGCGAGCAAGCTGGGCGGCGGAAGGTGCGCAGGTTCAGGCGGTCGAGGCCGATCTGGCGACGCTGGAGGGCGTGGACACGCTGCTGGCGACGGCGGATGGTCGGCGGATCGATGTGCTGTGCGCCAATGCGGGAAACAGCAGGGCGGGGCTTTTCCTCGACCAGTCGGTGGAGGACTGGCGCCGCTCGATCGACACCAATGTGACCGGCACCGTTTATCTGCTGCAACGCGTGTTGTCGGCGATGGTCCGGCACGGCGGGGGCAAGGGGTGCTGGTGACCGGATCGATCGTCGGCTTCATCCCCGGCCCCTTCAACGCGATCTATAATGCGACCAAGGCGTTCATCGACAACTTCACCGAGGCGCTTCGCAACGAGTTGAAGGATGAGGAGGGTCACCTGACACCCTGATGCCGGGGCCGACCGAGACCGAGTTCTTCGCCCGCGCCGACATGCTCGACACCAATGTCGGTCAAAGCAAGAAGGACGACCCCGCCGAGAGTCGCCCGTAAGGGCTGGGACGCGATGATGGCGGGCGAGGGGCATATCGTCCCGGCCTGAAGAACAAGGCGCGGGTCGCCGGGTCCGGATCGTCCCCGGGCCGTGCTGGCCGAAGGCACCGCAAGATCGCCGAGCCCCCCTCAGGCCATCGCTGAACCATCGAGGAGACGGATCATGGGTTTGTTCACCAAAGGATATCGCGACGCTGGACGATCTGTTCGTCCATCAACTGCAAGACATCTACTATGCCGAGCATCAAATCCTGAAGGCCCTGCGAAGATGATCGACAAGGCGACCGCCCCTCTTTGAAGGCCGGGTTCGAGCAGCATCTGCGCGAGACCGAAGGACAGGTCGAGCGGCTCGAGCGCGTCTTCGCAATGCATGGGCACCGCCCAGGGCCGTTACCTGTCCCGCGATCGATGGCATCATCAAGGAAGCCAATGAAGTCGCGGGCGAGGTCGCTGACAAGCGGGTGCTCGACGCGGCGCTGATCGCGGCGGCGCAGGCGGTCGAGCATTATGAGATCGCGCGCTATGGCACGCGCTCGTTGCATCGCACGGCAATTGGGGCGGAGCGACTGCGCGGCGATCCTCGACGAGACGCTGGCCGAGGAAAAGGCGACCGACGAGAAGCTGACCACCATGGCCGAAGGTGGCGCGAACGCAGCGGCGCAAACTGCCGAACACGCCTGACGCCGAGGCACCGTCGCCGGATCACCTTACCCGGCGGCGGTGCCTTATCCCAGCCCGATCAATGGGCGAAGTGGGTGACGCCAAGCATCAACAGGATGCCCGGATGCTCGCCGGGCTGGTACGCAAAGCCGATCAAGGGCCCGGCTGCGCGGTACCAGTTCGCATGCGCCGATATAGAGGAAGATGCCCGCAAACACGCCCATCGGCGCGAGCATTGCCGCCGGAATAACGATAGCCAGCCCCGGAGCACGCCCAGCATGGGGCGACGCCGTTCACCACCAGCCAGCGCCGCGCCGCCGCCTCGGACCGTGCGGCTGTGCTGAGGCTGACGGTGTTGACGCCGTCCGCGACGTCGCGGGTCAGCACGGCGAGCGCAATCATCCAACCGGCGCTCGTATCGATCTGAAACGCCAGCCCGATGCCGAGCCCATCCATCAGACTATGCAGACACAGCATCGCCGGGTAGATGACCGCGCCGAGATTGCTCCGCGCAGGGGAATGCCGGCCGGACGCGGTCGAGCAGCATATAGCCACCCAGTCCCATCGCCGCAGAAGATCATCAGGCTGCGCACCGACCAGCGATCGCCGGCGGGTCCATGGCCTCCGGAACGAGATCGAATAGCGCCACGCCGATCACGATGCCGGCCGTCACCCCTAGGATCAATCCGATCCGATGGCGCAGCCGAAGCGCCAGCAATCCACCTGCCAACGTCGCCACCATGGCCGCTAGCCCGAAGGCGAGAGGGATCAACGTCATCGGGCGACGACCTGCGGCCGAGGCACGGGGCAAGGGAGGACAGGTGCAGCATCATCCGCCCATGGACCAGCCCATGTAACGTTACAAGGTCACCTCTTACCAAGCTGGATCGATCAGCCGCGCGCGATCGCATCCAGAACGGTCGCGCAACCTCCTTGCGGCAGATCAGCAGGTCGGGCAGCAGTGGATTTTCGCAATTATAGACCAGCGGGCTGCCATCGATCCGCGAGGCATGGAACCCGGCGGCGAGCGCCACGGCAGCGGGGGCGCAATTGTCCCACTCATATTGGCCGCCGTCATGCAGATAGACGTCGGCGCGTCCTCGACCACCGCCATCGCCTTCGCGCCGGCCGATCCCATCGGGATCATCGTCGCGCCCAGCCGATCCCCGACGCACCTTTGCGATGTCTGGTGCGCGGCTGCGACTGACGACGACGCGCAGGCCTGCGGGCAGGGTGGAAGGACGGGCGGCAGATCGTCGGTGGCAAAAAACACGTCGCGCGCCGGAACGGCGACGGCGCCTGTGGCAGGGCGACCATCGATGGCCAGCCCGATGTGCACAGCCCATTCGTCCGAGCCCATGGCATATTCGCGCGTTCCGTCCAGCGGATCGACGATCCAGACCCGCCGTGCCGCGCAACGCGCGCGATCGTCGAGCGCCCTCCTCGACAGGATGAAATCGTCGGGCCGGGCGGCGTGGGCGATCGAGGATCAGGCTATTGGCGTCCCGGTCCCCTTCTGGCCGAGTGCGGCACCTCGAAGCCGCCGTGGTCGCGCAACTCTTTGAGCAGCGCTCCGGCCTCCTCGGCTACGGCACGGGCGAGTTCGGCGTCGGTCACAGATCGTAACTCCAGATGCCCAGCACATGCTCGACGATCCGCGAGGCGGCCTGTTCCGCGGTTTCCTTCGTCGTGTCGATGCGGATCTCAGGCCGGTCGGGCGCTTCATAGCTGGAGATGCCGGTGAACTCGGCAATCTCGCCCGCGCGCGCCTTGGCATAGAGACCCTTCACGTCACGATCCTCCGCCACCGCGAGCGGCGTGTCGATGAAGATCTCAACGAACTCGCCTTCGGACAGCAGCGCGCACCATGTCGCGTTCGGCCTTGAAGGGCGAGATGAAGGCGGTCAGCACGATCAGGCCGGCATCGGCCATCAGCTTGGCGACTTCGCCGACGCGGCGGATATTCTCGACCCGGCCTGCTTCCGAAAAAATCCAGATCGCGGTTCAGGCCGTGACGGATATTGTCGCCGTCCAGCAGGAAGCTGTGGCGGCCCATGCTGTGCAGTTTCTGCTCGACCAGATTGGCGATGGTCGACTTGCCCGAACCCGACAGGCCGGTGAACCACAGCACGCGGGGCAATTGCCCCTTCTGCCGGGCATGCGCCTCGCGGTGACGATGGTCGATTGCCAATGGACATTCTGCGCGCGGCGAAGGGCGTGGTCGATCATCCCAGCCGCGACCGTCGCGTTGGTCGCCCGGTCGATCAGGATGAAGCCGCCCAGTGCGCTGCCCTTCTCATAGGGCTCGAAGACGATCAGGCGGTCGGCATAGACTTCGGCCGGCCGATGTCGTTGAGCGCCAGCG